CACACCGAGCTTTTCCGCACATGCTGACTTTCTGCTTTGTGCCAGCTTCACGCATGGCAGTGCACAGCGGGAACGCAGGAACCCCTCAACGCTGGTCAGACACCTTTGGGATGAAGCCTCACGTTAGCATCACAAGAGGTACTCTCTGCAGCAACCTTCCCGCCCCCCCAGACCCAGTTTTCTACTGGTAATCCAGACACTGGATAACTTGACAACTGGTACACAGGTACTAGTTTTAAAACCACAGGCGTATGTATTAGATATCATATAAAATATGGTACATCTCTCACGTGGGAATGATTTCTATGGATAGTGTATTTCAGCACAAGGAAGATGCATGTTCCAAGGGGTCCTGAAGAACACGTCTGTGTTCTCCATCATACTTACAGAGGATGCTCATGAGGACAAAGCTGCTCTTTGCTGTCCACATCCCCACGCCCTGGGCTGAGCTCTGCAGAGATCACAGGAAGCACCACCGCTGCCCAAGCAGCCCCTCGCACAAAGCTACCTCTTTGGTTTTCTTTGAGCTGATTTGATCCAGAGCCTGACACTACCAGTGCCAAAGTCTCATCCTCATCTGAGCTCAGCCCTGAAGGCTGAGAAGCATCAACGGGTGATGTCCATGGGCCCTCATAGGCAACTCGCCCTGCTCCCCCTGAGCTTTCTCCAGGTCTGAGGTGAGTGCAAAGGGCCATATCCTGAGAATCCTACTCTTGCCAGCTCCACCCGCACAAAAAGGCACTTAAAGAAGAAAACAAAACAAAACAAAAAACAAAACAAAACAAAAAACCAACAAAAAACCCTGCAGTGAGGAAAAGGGGAGTAGGTCCAGGAGAAGAGAGGAGGAACAGAACAGCGAGCACAATGCGAATGAGTGGCTGAACCCTCTTCCAACAGGGCCCAAGAACTGCAAGCCTTGAGCAGCCAGCTCCAGCTCCAGCTGCCCTGCCACAGGTCTCGGCATCATCCCATCCCTGCTCAGTCCGGAGCAGGAACATGCGTGGGGTCAAAGAGTGTGAGAGGCAACCACACATGACTACAGGTTCGGAGCAGAAGTGGAGAGCGGTGGAAGGACCTGCCCCGTGGAGCTCGCTCTGCTGGTGCAACTGGATGGGGGACGCACCTCGTCCTGCCACGCCAGCCTCGGGGCCCCTGCTCCCCGGCCAGCCCTGTCACCCTGCCAGCACCCCTCGTCCCTCTGCGGGATACCCTGTCCTGAGCTCCTCCGGGGCAGTGGCCTTCAGCTGCACAGGGATTTCAGGGAGTGGGTAAGCTGGGAATAAAACAAGCGCTTTGTAAACTCTGGAGGGTCTGAACCTGGGGTCTACAGAGAGGCTGAGGTTGGTTTGCTAAGCCCACCCTGAGCCCCTCTCCACTCAGAATTAGCGTGCTTTGTATGATCTCCACGTCACCAGAGTCAGTCTTGTTTGGAGAAAGATTCTCATTGGAAAGCAAGAACATTCCTTCACTCTTTACAAAGATTTGGCAATACACAGAATTAAAAAAAAAAAAAAAAAAATCATAGTTACAACAGATTTAGGTTCATTTCATTTAAAGGAAATTCAACCAACAGGAGTGTAAAAGTTATACTTCACAGTTGTGCATTTAAGATATTAGTGTTGAAAACCTCACTTCAAAGGACTCTTGTGCAAAATTGTATTGACAGTAGAAACCATGGCTAGATGCCCTCCCAGCCTCCCCCAGCCAAAAGGCCACCGTCCACCCCTCTGCCTGCACCCAGGGGCAGACGGGCGAGGGGAACAAAGGCGGCAGCAGGAGCTGACATAGGAAGATGCAGTATCCTTTCTACGAGTCAAAGCCTTGCCGAGGTCTGAGGTCAAGTCCAACGATTCCCAAAGCCACCAGCTGGTGCCCTGCGCCGCGGCGACGACCGGCAGCTCCTGCCCTGCCACCAAAAACGGCCTCTGAGCCCACCTGAACGCAGGCCGGCAGCCAGCGAGGCACAGCAAGCAGACCTGCTCTGGCAGGACACCCCCTGCAAGGGCACAGACTCAGATGCCACGGCATCCCCACTGCAGCCGGGAGAGCCAAGCCCCGGCGCTGGCAAACGCCGTCCGGGGGCTCAGAAGTGATCCTGCGCTGGGCGCCGGGCTCCTCTGCTTGTGACGGCTCCCACCACGAGGGCTGGGAACCCCTTGCATTTGTTAAACAGTAAAACTGTAAATACCCTGAGAACAGGGAGACTGGGTTTTTTCCCCTCTGGGGAAAGGACCATGCTTTGTTCTTCAAGCTAATTAGTAGTAGCAGCTCCTAACCCCTCTGGGTCAGGTACATATTTTCCATATGAAACACATCTATAATCAACTATTTAAACAGTCATGCAAAAAAATTGCCTGCAAATTTTGGAACAGTGCAGCATGGGCAGAAGCAGGAGGTATTTGCTTTGGGATCACATGGCTTTGGTTGGAAAAACTGGTGCTTTTTTTTTGTTGTTTGTTTGTTTGTTTTTAAAAAGGGAAACAGACATTGAAACAAATCCATAACCTGCCATAAGAAGCAGAAGTCAGATCCAGCAAGCAACCTCATCCCAGAGAGCGAGCTGCCTTGACTCGAGCCTTCCCTCCTTCGGCAGGTTTGACAAAACGGATACTGCATCTCAAGTTCACCACTGCGTCAAACACTTCAACAAAATTTTACATTCAGCAACACTAGATAAACACCGGCGAGGCGAGTCCCTCACCGAGGACGAACGCTGTAACATCTCAACATTTTGTTCTGCGAGAAAGGTGCGATATCGGCAGCTCTCCGGGAACGGGCAGGGCTTGGGTCAGCCCGTGCCAACGCCGAGCCGTGTGCTCTCGGTGGTGGTGGGCTGGTGCGCATCAGAGCAAGGATGGAGACTAAGAAAGTTAATAGAAAGCTAAATGTGAGAGTAAGGTTTTGGGGGCCCTGCTTCCTCCCCACTGGGTGCACAAGTTAGATACTGTGCAATTTCTATGCCCCCTTGTGGGGACTTCACCCTCATGGGTGGCTCCAAGGAAGAAGTGCACCTTTCCCATCGGGGAGGACAGCAAAAATTAGGGCTGCTTTCTGAAGCTGAAAGAGGAAGAGATACACACGCAGACCCAGTCAGCTCTGACACCACGCACTCCAGTTTCCTGCGGGGAGATCCTGCAGCAATATATTGCACCTTTCCGGCCACCGCTCGCAAAGACAGACCGCAGGAACTTGTGGCAAGTGCCTTCCCCAGCCCGTGAGCAGGAGAGACGGGGCAGGTGCGCAGGCACAGAGCTCTGGCAGTTGCATTTGGGGCTGGGGTCTTCTTTGAGGGTCAGATGAGACTATCTGGGTGTAAAGAAAGGAAGGGAAATGCTACATAGCCAGGGGCCATGGAAGGGTCTCGAAACAGGGAAACCGCAATGCCTGATTTATTCATCACTCCAGGTACCGAGGGTGACATTCACATTTTGTTTGAGACACCGCTGGGAGAGGATCGGGGTCGGGAACAACTTTTCTTTTAAATTTGAGGACTTAGACTCCCTCTGTGGGAGTGGGGAATGTGTGATGCACAACTGCCACAGCGTGCCTCTTGCTTGCACCCAGTCTGCATTCAGGTTTTTGGGGTGGAAGAATTGGTTTCTGCTGCCCAAGGCAGGCTGCCCTGCACTAGCGACAGCTGGGCGGGAGGCTCTCTGCTCTGCTACCATGGTAATCCCTAAAATGGCTGTTAAAAGGGACAAGAGAGAAGGAAATGCACTAAATCCACTCAAAGGAAGGAATGTGGCTGGGAACAGCCTGGAAATGAACCTCTCCGAATCCCTGAAGTGCAATACACTCGCGTCCAGAAAGTTTTATCAGTTCTTGGAGGGGAGAGGATGGTCCCAACTCCTCAGCAGAGCCCATCCTTGCACTGGCAGAGGTTTACTGTCACCTGGAGGATGTACTTTGGGTGTAATCGTAGCAGCATCTTTTGTGTTAATACTAGAGATTGAAGGGGGGATGGGGACTGATGTTCTCTGTTATTTAGCAAAGACCGCACATCTGCTCTGGCCAAGGTAACGGTGCACAGAGTACTACAGCACAGGAGTTTAAAAGCTTGTCATTTTGGGGTGCACACATTACTTCACCATGCAATTGTCAGAAACATCAATGAAAATCACCCAGTTACTTCACTACGGAAAATTATGTCCAGCTTTCATTTCATGAGAACGCAGTTTTGCTAATTAATTCCTCCCCCCCCCCCCCCCCACTACCACCCACAC